GAAATGGGGGGACAAAATCCCCTTCCCAGCCCCACCAGCCCAAAGCCTGAACACAGGCAGAGCTGGAGTTTCTCCAGAGTTTTGATAGTTGGGATTTAGGCAAGATTCAGGAATGCTGCACTCTGATGCTGTGGGGTCTGTGCTGCACCAGCAGCACTGCTTCAGTGGTCCAGGCTGAGGGCTGGACCTCTTCCCCCAGGGAAATGGGGGGACAAAATCCCCTTCCCAGCCCCACCAGCCCAAAGCCTGAACACAGGCAGAGCTGGAGTTTCTCCAGAGTTTTGATAGTTGGGATTTAGGCAAGATTCAGGAATGCTGCACTCTGATGCTGTGGGGTCTGTGCTGCACCAGCAGCACTGCTTCAGTGGTCCAGGCTGAGGGCTGGACCTCTTCCCCCAGGGTCTGTGCCAGGGACCAAGAAGCCAATTTTAATTTAGCCATGAGGATAGAGAAAGCAATTTTTGTCCCCTCTCCTTTTCTGCAGCAGTGACCAGTGTGTAACCCATCTCTGCACCCTTCAGCACAGGCTGACTCATTTCTCAGACAGAAGGAGCAGCAGAGACTGTCTTTCCTTTTGCAGCGCTCACTGCATCGCTCGGACTCATTCCCTAGACATGGCTCATCTCCTTGCAGGGAATTTGCCAGCTCTGCTCCATGCACCCCTTCCAAGTGTGCTCATGCTGGGGGATCCAGCCAGCCCATGGGGCTCCTCAGGGTGAGGCAGAGGGTGAGGGTCCAGACAGGACAGGAAAGAAAGTGGGATAGAGGAAAATTTTCTCTAAGAATCCTACTTTTTTTAATGCCTTTTTTTTTTAGTGTTCTTGATCAGGGTGGAAGTAGCCCTGATAAAAAGGCTTAGCCATGAAAACAGCAGCTTTTCTGGGGTCCCCTCCAAAGGCTCAGTTAAACATAGCTGTAAGGGGTGCTCATATCCAGGTACTATTCACACGTGGCTGCTGGTCAACCCCAGACAAACTGGTGTTTTGCTGCCCAAGAGGTTTTTCCTAGCATTTTTTCCCCTATGCCTCAGCCACTGCCACCTGCTGGTTTTGCATGAATGAAGCTAAGTAGTCAAAATTCAGACACACATGAAGTTGTTCCGAGTCCTTTCAGATCCCATAAATATTTTCAGAAGGATGCTGCACCCCAACTCCCACCTCATCTGGAAGCAATTCCTCCTGGACCTGTGGGACCAGCCTCAATTTGTGGAGGAAAACCAGAAACCTTCCTGACTCCAGGAGAAGCTCCTGCTGCTTTGCCTGCAGGATTGGCCAGCATTCAGCCCCTCTCTGCTTTCCCCCTGTAGCGGGGCCCAGCCAGGACAAGACTTGGCTCAAAGCACAGGAAAACAGACCTGGACAGATAAGCGTCTCTCGCAGGGAAGAAGGGGCTCTGAACTAAACAGACACTCCCTCTCTGGGCTGCCCGCAGCCAAGCGTGGATGTGGGTCTCGGCTCCACTTGCTATCCCGTGGCTGCAGATACACCTGGGGGTTTCTAACCCGCCCACACCACGTGTGACAGTTGCTATTTACCCTGCGCTTTGTGCCACGTGCACGACACCAGCCCAGCCCTACGCTGGGTGTGACCCCACGGCTGCACAAAGGGGACGAGCCGCGGCCAGCCCTGGGGCTCTGAGTCTCCCCACTTGCCTGTTTGAGATTGTACAAGCCATGCTTGTCGCAGTTGGGGATGTGGAGGGAGTAGAGGTGCTCCAGGGGACCTCGCTCATCTGGCAGCCGCATAGTAGAGATGCGTTCCAGGACCTGATCCAGCTCCTGCTGACAAGGGGTCTGAAAAGAGCCCAGAAAGCAGAAAACAAAACTTAATCAGGGCAATGGGACTGTTCAATGTCAACACTTTGGCCAACAGAAACACCAGTAGGGACGAACACCCGTGTACACCTCCTCAGGACACAGGTTTGCCACTTGGTCCCGCTGCAGACTTCACCCACAGGCACCCCAAATCACGTCTGCACATGCCCAGGTGTGCAGATCCACACAGGCAGACACGCACATCTCTCCCATGTGCTTCACGTGGCCAAGAGCCAACATGACACCAGGTCACAAGCCTTGGAGGTACAGAGGAGGAGAAACCTCAGAGATGCTCCCATGGGTCCCACTGGCAGTGGGAAGTGATGCAAAGCAGGACTAATCTTGACAGATCAGGAGGGTTTCCATGAGCATAGCCCAGATCCCACACCCGTTATGCAGTTTTGGTCCAGAAGTGCAACCCAAAGCACGTGAGACCCCCATGGGAGTGGAGGGGAAGCCCAGGTAGCGAGAAGACCCAGTGAAGCCAGCCTCTGGGGGCATCCCTCCTGCGCCACAGCAGCCCCAAGCCAGAGTGAGCCCACACCTCTCAGATTTTGCAGTTGCTGGTTTTTCCCCCCAGAGCAGCAACAAGAGTGTGGGAACTCACTAAGCTGACGGTGCATGCACCTTGTTTTGAACCTCTGCTTTGCCTGCTCCTCGTAGGGGATTAAGGGCTCTCTTTTTAAAGTCCTTTTCTGTCCCTGCACTTCCCAGATATGAATACCCTGTCTGTTTGTAGAGATACGTATTACGGACTTTTCGGGTGGCTTTCCATCCCCATCCCATCCAGCTGCCTTGACCAAGCTGCCCACTAGAGGGAAACCACAGCCAAGGACTGGCAGGCAGAGAGACAGGGAAGAAGGGGATAGGGAAGACTCCGGGCACCCTACCTGCTATGCGACAGCCCCACAACCCATCCTCGGGGACTCTGGGCCCTCCCTCAACCTGGACTCGGGCTGCCCCGCAACAAGCAGACACCCTCCCACCTCCCAAATCCCCTTGGGTCATCCCTGGCACTTGCTTAGGGGAAAAAGGGTGTGAGAAAGCCGGTCCGCGAGCAAAGGGCACGCTCGCACCCCTACGGAGGTAGGTGTTGAGCCAGCAGGACCCCCCTTCCCCGGCTCTGCTGTCAGGAGGTGAAGCTGCAATGAAAATAACGCCTCCTTGCCAGCACATCAAAGTTCATCAGATGGAGTGTTCGGCCCCAGCTTCAGGCCAAAACAAATGTTTGCTTTTCCTTTTTTTCCTCTCCCCCTCTTCCCCCTCTTTTCTTTCTTTTTGTTTTTCTATTTAAGACAGCCTGTTGCAGATGTCACTAAGGCTTTGCGTTCAGCATCTCCCAGTGAGCCTGCAGCCGCCTCCGTTAGCTCCCCCCTCACCCTGCCCGTCGACAGCCGCGACTTCTTGGAGTCCTCGTGGTTGTGATGGGGCTTGCCGACTTTGCCCATCTGCCGCTGCTGCTCGTTCACCTTCTCCCTCATAACCGCCAGCTCCTTCATGCCCGTCTTCATGGGCTTCCTCCCGCCGGCTCCGCTCAGGATCCCCGTGGTGCCGTCCACGTGGTTCTCGGCAAGGATGCTCTCGGACCGGTCATCGCCGTTATCTGCAGGAGACGGGGCAGACAAGGAAAGGGTCAAGCTCAGCCAGGTGCTCTCTCACGTGTTCATCCCATCCTGGATCGCTTACAAGCATGGCTGGTTACCAAGCCATAAAATCTTTGCATGCAAAGAATTTTAAATTGCATTAGCCTTTTCATCTGGAAGGTGAGAATAGATCCTTTCATTCTGGAGTTATTACCACACTAAAAGACAGTCTAGAGAGCAGGGGAAATCGCTGCTGGAGAAGTTCTTTCTGGTTTTAGTTTGACCTTCTAAATTACTTCCCAAAGAATGTAATTTTCCCATCAGAAGTCCAGTTGGGATAGGGATGCCAAGTGTGTTTCAGCTCCAAAACTTAAAACCACAGTGATTAGTAACAATACCTTGAGTCCATCTATCATCCCCCAGAGTATCTCCAGGAATACTTACTCAGTATTAATGTGCTAAAATAAATTCTCAGGCCTGCTTTCAAAAATACCTTGCCTCTGTTTCACGGCCACCCTAATTTCCCTCGGAGATCCTGCCATTTCAGTGATCGTCCTTGCCGTATCGTCTTTCACATCATTTGTCATACAGTGCATTACTCATTTAGCTTCTACCTACTTCTGCATTTGGCCCCTTCTGCTGACCGTGGAGCAGCCACACGTGTCCTGGGCCCACCTCTGCCACTGTTGCAAGCCACAAGACCCACAGCTAATTCAGCCATTTCCAAACCAGCTAGCAGAGATCTGGGGACAAACACCAGACTTTTTCCACCTCTTCACTTTCTGCATTTTCCTAGTTCACTGGGTGCATTCCTGAGAGCAATCCTTGCCAAAGCAGGACATGTTGGTGGCGATGCTACAGACACCAGTCCCTTTGGACTTTGCGGTGGCAATGAGGACAGATCTCAATTCCTCCTGCTTGCTCCAGAAGCCCAGAAGGTGACAGATGACCGCTCCTCGGTGCCTGGTCTCATCTGGCTGAGCAAGCACATCTAACATCATAGCTGGATCTAACACGGAAGCGAGCATTGCTTTAAGCAGGGGCTTGGACCAAAACCTCCAGAGGTTCTTTCCAGGCCAAATTCAACCCATGCACCACTGAAATAACGCAGGATAAGTGTATCTCTGTAGATGGGAGCTCTTTGGCAGCTCCACAGGTCCCACACCAGTGACAGACCAGGTCCTACAGTGGAGACAAACATGAGGTGTCTTTTAGCATATGCCAAGGAGGAACTGCTGCACCCAGGCACAGCGTGCTCTCCAGCACCTCGGAACTCAGACACTTCTATAGAAGTAAAGAAGTCACATCAAACTGTGTGTGACAGAGGGCAAGCAATGCTTTAGCTCATGTCACAATGCTTAATTTACAGATCTTCCTGCTTCTTGGAAGACCAAGTACGCAGAACATTTAGAGACTTTAACATTTCCTTTTTTTCAGAAGCTGCATCGTGATGTTTTGTCAGGGCATAGCACTACTGTCATGACAGAGAGTGAAAAATCATAATAGCAAGGGTTTTATTTCTGCCACAGCTTTCAAAGCTCTTTTCAGGTGTTACAGCCCCAGGCTCACACAGGGGAAACTGCAAGAAGAATTTTGTCAGAATTTACTCAGCAAATGTGCAGCTGCCTGCAGACTGATGGCAAGAGAATGGCCCAAGTGGGCTGGATCAAAGAGCCACCCCAGCCCAGCATGGGGTGACCATCACACAAGAGACCATCAGCAGCTGCTTAGGGACACACATCAGAAGGACCATTCCCAATCTGTGCTGCAGACACAGTAAAAGCACAGTAAAAGCACTTTCGTGGCTGGAGACTGCATCTGACCCACAGGATTTAAGAGTCACCGACAGACCCACCCCTCAGTGGATTTGTCCAATATCATTTTGAACTTCCTCACCACTTTGGCCTCAGATCTCTCAATACTGGGATCATCCCACTTCCCAGAAATACTAAATGCGTTTGGTCTGCAGGTTTTTAGCTGCTTAGGTAGCAACTGAAAAGCAAACACGGGGCAAGACCAACCTGGCAAGGTCCATGACTTTCCTCAATAGTGGTTCCAAATGAGAACTGGGACCAGGTTTGATAGCCAGATGGGCAAGCTCAAAGTCTGGTCTGCTGCCTGGCGATTGCCATCTGGCCGTCATCCTAGGAGCCGGACAAGGAATATTTTGAGCAGGAATCTTCTGTTTATACACCAGTCTCCCCGTTAATTAGAAACACATCGTGAGAAGAGAGAAGGCCATGAGGCCGCCCTTCAGACAGGATCAAATGAAAAAGTACCGTGCAAGAGACGGGCAAGGCTGGCCAGGCTCTGATCCTCAACAAGCTGCTTAGGAGGGTTTTAGCCTCCCGACATCTTTTGTGCTCCTCTGCTTGCTGTCCCACCAAGCTGTCAACAACAGCAGAACAGAGCAGCAGCTGGGCAGCATCTCAGACACGTTGCAGACCCCTGCTCCATTCAGAAAACCAATGGTACAAACCGATGGAAAAGCAGCAAACTGGAAGCAGTGCCTTCCCCCATCGATTCTCACTCCTTCCTGCCTCCAACTAAAATATACAGACATCTGCCCAAATAAGCACTGCACTAGTAAATGAAGGCGAGCTGGTTAGCCTCTTGTCGGCTGATTCATTCACAAAACCTGCTTCTGATAATATTTTTGCTCATTTTTCTCACTTTCCAATGCTAACAAGTATCAGCCCAAAAAAAACCAGTGATGGGAGCAGAGTGTGCAGGCCCGTGTGCAGGAACACACCCAGGGGCAGGAGAGATTGGTCTTGGCTCCCCAGGCACCATCACAGGAGCAGAGACTAGGAAGGTCTAGCTGCTACGGACTGCAAGCTCTCCTCCCCAGGGCCAAGCCAGCCACAGTGAGCCGTACCTTTGCCCCACTGCCAAGCTGGACTGATCCACCCGGGGCTGATGCCGGAGTCCCATCACAGCTTTCCCCTCTCCCAAATCTGGTGCTGGTCCTAGGAGGAGCTCTCCTGACCTGGGGCTTGCAGGGATGGCTCAATCACTGGGGAAGGGAGATGGGACAGAAGAGGTCGGCCCCACGTGCAAAGCACTGATGTTTCCTTCATGGACGAGCTGGGTGCACAGGAGGAGCATGATGTGTGATGAACCACGTTTCAAAAAGCAAATGGGCCGGGTAGCAATGACAAGAGCAGAGACATCAGGCCTCGAGGTTGGGAGAACACAGAGTATGCCAAGAGCCAAACAACACCTTTTACAGCCAGATAAAGCTTTTTAACACTGCCCAAAAGCAGCAAGTTGTGCGTGCTTGCTTACGACTATCCACGAACCAGTTAAGCCACCCATCAACCCTACCGGCATGGGATGGGCAGGTATGCAATTGCCTCAGATATACAACCCTAATCTGTTTGTCATCCTGGCAAACGCCCTTTTGCTGACCAATTTCAATTCACGCTAAATATATCTGTGAACGGAGCGGTGCCAAACTCCAAAACAATTAAGTTTTATAGTTCTTCCATTTTCCTATGGCATGTGGAAAACATCTCCTGTGCTATTTTGGATCAAAAGGTAGAGCACTTTGTGCAGGGTGGGACAAGTGTGGCAGGAATCAAAGCAGATAGCTGAAGTTCTCCTGAACACTGATGCGGAGCCCATGAAACACCTCTCTCCATGCCAAGAAAATGATTTCTTTATGGCCTTTTTCAAGGAAAATTCCCATTGGCTTCAATGGGGCGAGGACTTGGCTGAGGTGAAAGCGTGTTCAAATGGCCATCAGCTAACGTCTGTAGGGAGCTGCACAGTCTCGCCAACATTTTCAAAAGCGGCTACCAATTTCCAGCACTGAAATTTTCGGGAATCTGGTTTGAGACCTCTAGGCACCTCCACTGAGACAGCTGAGAAACAAGAGGGCCTTAAAAACAACCTGCCACTTCCAGAGCTACAAGAAGAAAAAAGCACTGCACAAAAAAAGGCAGCTGCCTGAAGTTAAAAATATATCTTTATCCCTTTGAGAAGCCCCGAAGCGTATCTGGGCTGCGGGATGGGACTGAGCCAGCAGCACTCACTTAGCACGAGAGGGACGGCCTGTGTGAGGGGGAGCACCACCATGCCAGCACTGCAGCCACCCTCTCCAGCGCTGCTCTCTCTCTCCACTTGCTTTCCCTCCACGACAGCTTGAACGCATGGTTTCACATGCATTTGCTTATCTGCCTGGGGTGTTTGCATAGACTTTAAGTGCTGATTAGGGTCCCAGACCCACAGAAAGTTTCACCCAAGTGGCCTGGAACCCTGCTAGACTCAGGGCCTGGCTGCGTCCCAGGCTGGACAGGGCTTACACCTCCCTCCCGCAGCAGTCAGCCTCCGTTGGCCAGCACTCTCCCTCCGAAGACATCAAAGTGCTTTGCATTTCATTAATTACCCTGGAGAAAGAGGTGTTCATCCTGGGTTGCACACGGTAAAAAACAAAGGCATGGAAAAATTTGAGAGTGTTGCCCAAAGCCACGGAGGGAATCAATGAGCAAACCCAGGAGCCTACACTCCTGCCCTGGCACCACACCGGGTACGGGAGCGAGTGCACTTGGGGCTGTGGGAAGGCAGCATCCAGCGAGTGATTTTTTCACCCTGAGCAGTGTTGTGTCTCATCCAGCTTTGTTTCTTTTATCCCCCAACACTTTTAGACCATGAGCCCTACATTTTCAGGATAATTTAAGTGACCGTTCTGGGTTTTGCTTGCCACTTTTTATTTTAAGGAGTGCAGCTGCCTGTCCCAGGCTGCCAGGAACCCAGCACTTGTCCTCTGCAGCCTGAGAGCAGTCAGGCCCTTTAAACCTGACCTTTAACAGGCACAACAGCCACGGCCGGAGAATTGCTTACAGTAAGGTGGGGAAAGGAGCAGACAAACCCCGACCGCAGCCCTGGTGACCTCTGTCTCATCAGTCTGCAAAGTATTTCTAGGAGAACCCTGGGCAAAGGTTCCTGTGCAATAGCGCCGGTGTGGGTGTTGTTGACCTGGAGCTCGGATACCTCAGAAAACGTTTGCCAGCAGGGAT